CCAATGTTTAGATATTAAAAGAGACTCCAAGTAACTTCAAGCAAACTTGCAAGTGCTCTTTAATTTTTTAATAAGCTGCCTCTCTGTCAATATTGATGTTTGTAGGTTAAATAATTTCCGTTATTATCGCTTTTATATACAGGGTGTTTCAAATTCTACCCTCACCATTGGGATCTCGGAAACTGTAGTAGATACGCAAAAGCTTAAATATGGAGAAAGTGGCATATTTAGGTGGATAACAAAATTTCACTTAGAATGTTTCGAAATTCATGGTACTGCCGGAGAGAGACAGAAAACAACGAATGTTGTCAAAATCGTTTGTTTTTTCCTGACTTTAATTGTAGTGGAGTCTCAAAATGCATTGCACATTAACATTGACACTTTCCTTCCTCTACAAGATGGCATAATTAGAACTTCAATATCAACTTTATTTTTTCTTATGTACTCCATATTGGCTTCTTGCACAGATAAATAGGGTTTTTAATTGTTATTTCAAAAACGTATAGTACTTCATCGTATTTTGAGCTTAACTTTTTTGAAAAGTTCGGTTGTTTATTATAGGAGGAAACCAGCGAAGGAAGAGGGAACATAATCCAAGAGCATTTTTTTGGATCTGTACAAGAGAGGGGGTCGCAGTGGTGGTCATAGCATTCATATTCTCGAAGATATTCAGCCCCCCCCCCCTGGGAAGGGTGGCAGGCTTGGTGGTCTAGGAGGGGAAACTCATCCTCCTCTGAGTCCGCCATTGTCAGTATTGTTTACAGTAAGAAATCTAATAAAAAAACACTTATATTATGTGCATAGCTATATTGTAATATGTACATATCTATTAATACTTTTGGAGAATCACGGACATAATTTGGTAGCTGGTCCCCTTCAAACTATTAAAACTGGTATTTGTCATTTTTCATGTCATAGTTGACAGATCATTTTTTGACAAAACGGACCAACTGAACAGACTTATACTCGTAGTATAAACGACAATCAGTACAGCCTTACTAAATTTTGGACACAGTAGGCTTATATGTTTCATTTCAGTTGCACTTTCTGTGGCCGAGAATTTGTGAGACACAGTCTCCGAGTCGAGAAATGTATTATACCGATATAAGAGAAAATATCTAAAAGGTCTGTTTCATGTTCAGTCTGACTGATTCTGGGTTACAAAATACAATAACTTATATTGAGAAGTGACTTGATTGGTACTTTACGTACACTACAATGTGTAAGATTCAGTCCGAATTGAAAAATGTAGATAGGAATAGAAAAGATAAAATTGATATCTGTTTCTCTGGAAATCTTGCATGTTCGGTCTAACATATTTTGATGTACAGATTTTTGTATAAGTTTCTGATAAATGACTTGAGCTGCAGCTTCTGTGCACCGGATTTTGTAAAATGCAGTCACCGAAACGAAAAATATAGGTAAGATAGACAAGAAAATGTCGAAAAAGTATGTACCTTTGGTAATTCTGCGTCGCCGCAACACAGTCTCGCAGATTTTCAAGCACAGGACGTCCAATGTTCAAGACGTGCGGTGACTTGTTTCGCCGCAACGACATTTCGACGTTCCGAACGAAAATGACGGACGTTGATATAGACACTGAAATATTGATTAAAGAAGTGAGGAGGCATCATGTAATTGTAATTCGTCAAACGATTTAGAACTCTTTCTAAAATAATTTAAAAACTTTTCCACGTGGTTTCTCAGATCCGAAAAATCACGAACAAATGCTCCGTTTAATGAACGGGCAATCACATAAGGGTGTATCCAGTGTTTTCTTTTCATTTTACAAATATGATACTTATATACGTAATATGCAAATAAATCACATTGTTCATGCTCAAGATCCATCTTGCTACTTCTGTCGCGTCGAGAGAACTGCATGCGTTATTGTAGGCTCCTGTGAACTTTTCTCAAAAACACTGTCTGCGTTACCGCTCCGTCAAAATTCGTCCGTGTGCACCGGCTGTTAAGTTGCACCTTCTGTGTACAACAATCTCTGCGACGCAGTCTCCGAAATGAAAAATGAAAGTAACGATTAAAGGTAAAATATCAAAACGTTGTGTCTTCAGTAATCCATTATCATTTTAACACAGGAATATTCAAATTCACCGGTATAAGGCTACCTGCACCGAAATGAAGGATGAGAACAACTTTTTCTGGACAACGTTAGTCGGTATGCGGTCTTACCGAGTTTTGGTGCACTGAGTGGTGCAACTTTATGAATAATTTTAGTTTTTTAGATGCCACTTTTGTGTGCCACATTCTGTGAGGCACAGAGACGGATATAACTGCAGATGAGGAAGTATTAGAATATACATTGACGTTTATCTGTTCAGTCTCACTGTTTTTGATACTGAGAACGCTGTCATTGGATGACCAGTTACAGCTTCTTGGTAACATACTCCATGAGACACACTCTTCGAACCTAAGAAATGGAATGACGCTATCGAACTATTAGAGGATTGCTTGTCTGGACAATGATTGTCACACCAACTTATGGTATCCAGTCTAACTGGCACACAGTGTAGTGTATCTATAATTTTAGTTGCACATTCTGTGCACCACAATCTGTCAGCCACAGTCTTCAAGTTGGGAAGTGTACACAACGATAGAAGAGAAAATACCGTAAAGGTACGTTTTTTGTAATATTTTATCGTTGTTATACAAACATGAATGTTTAGGCTACCCAATTTTTGTAAAGAGGTTGTATCTCGATGTATGATTTCAGTTGTAACTTGTGTATATCAAAATTTTAGAGACATAGTCTCCGAACTGAAAAACGAAAACATCGTTAGAAGAATCCATACATATAGTGTCATAGATTGCCGGCATTCAGAGAGTTTCAACTGTGCTCACAATTTTAGGTATACAGGTTGCAACTAGATGCATGATTTTAGTCCACTGTGAAAATTTTAGTGAGAAACGAAATGAAAATGGAAACGGCGTTATAAGTGAACAGTCCCACAAACTGTTTGTTGTAAGTTTGTTCGTCTGAAACGCGAAAAAACAATGTTTGAATGATTTTTACTTTTTTTTTGTTTAGGTCCCTTCCTTGCCCGATTTCCAAAAACTATAAATCCCTTACGTCCTTGGCATTGTAGAAAGCACTTTTATGTGTCACAATCTGTGAGACACAGAGATGGTAATAACTATAGCTGAGGAAGTATTAGAATATTAGAATATACATTGACGGTCATCTGTGTCCTGAGAATATTGTCACTGGATGGACGAACAGTTACAACTTCAAATCTTAGTCACACAGTCTCCGAAATTAAAATCTTTAACATCGCTAAAAGTTGCACCGACTTCAGGATGGACGCAGGATGCAATTAGATGTACAATTCAGTCCACTGTCAATATTTGTGTGAGAAACGAACTGAAAATGGAAACAACCTTAAAAACAAACACCGTTTGTTGCCAGTTTGGTCGTCTGAAACGTGAAAAAACAATGTTTGAGCGATATTTTTTTAATTCTCAAAAACTAAACTTTGCGTACATTGTAGCAATATTGTCTACAAAATTTGTTAAAAACCGAGCGGTACTTCTCAGGTTATAGATGGTTATAGGATTAGCGGACAGACAGACCGACGAAATGAAAGAAATGGTTTTTCGTGACGTAAATGTCATACGAGTATAATATCCAAAATAGTAATAACATCTTATTTCAGTTTACTTCAGTTCAGTTCAGTTTCAGATTGGTGCTTGCAAAGCGAACAGCAGATCGGCATGGCTCACTGTGAGGGTCATAAATAAGGATCACTTTTCCGAAAAAAAAATGATGAAGAACTAAAATGAAGATTGAATAAGAATGAGAAAAAGCAGCAAAGTTATTGAAAGAACTGTAAAGCAGAGGGACTTTTTTTAAAAGTACTGAGTAATCACGCCTTCCGTAGTAAGTACATATACAGTCTCCATGTTTAATATAGTATATAATAATAAAATTATGAAAATTATTGGTCCTCTGACAACTATAGCATCGGCTTGATTTTTTTCATTTCATATCACAGAACACTATTTCTTTTGTTTCAGACGAGCATCTCAATTGTCAGAGAAACTGTGCCAGGAGCAAGCTCAAATCCGCAGAATTGTGAACAGTCTGCAGCGTGTTGAAGCACAAACATCTTGACGTATGTTTGTCGTCAATGCTTGAGCCGCAACATGTTGCAGAAGGTTTGCATTGCCGGCCCGTCGTTGCGGCACAAAGGACAATATGAACAAGTGCAATTCTGAAAAAATGGCGTCAAGTAGGTTGACTCTGCACTTTCTACGCAACTTTCTCTAGAGTTCGTAAAGTATTCTGTTCTGCACAAGCTGGCCCCTTCGAGATAAAAGTTAACTACGGACACGTAGAACAAACACATTAAGGGGATCAAGTTATTCAAACAGACTAATACAATTAAGATTTGCATACTTTACTTTCTCTTTTTGGTACAATTTTGGAGCTCTTTAGAAGTTGGCTGCCTGAGAAAATATGCTCATCCTCGCGCTTCAGAAAGTTTTGGACGTAGTATTGCTTTCACACAAAAGTTACCTCTTGTCGATGGATGGCCCTCCTCCTTCCGCCGAGAATTCCTAAAGCTGCATATGCTGCTACAAAAACACCGAGTTCTGACGTTGTCTCTTATTGTAATAAAAATTCTTATTCTGATCCCTTGGGATAAACATACATTTGAGTTTTGATGCACGTAAAGTGAAACACCAACTGTCAACTGTCTAGCTTGGGCCTTTCAACAAATAGACATAAAATGTATTCAAATATGATTTATTATTAGTCCTTCTATCCTAATCTGGCAATATGTCAACTTGCGCAGACAGACCGAAGCTCCTTATACGGCTTCTTTGGATTGTGTGTTTTAAGATTGATTTTGAGTTGAAAATGCATTTAAATATGACGTATTATTTATTAGTACTTTGATTCTATTCTGGAAATATGTGAACTTGCCCAGATAGATTGGAGCTCTTTATAGTGTTTCTTTGGAAATGGTATGTTTCCAAGATTAAAGATTATCTAAAATATAAAAATCAATTTAGCAAACGCATCTTACGTATCTTGGAATAGAGTCGATTAGTTTCTGCGAAGTGACTGGGCGATTGGGCTCAAGAGCAAATAAGTGAAAATAGGTATAAAATTGTGAACAAAAATACTGATACTGCAGGTGTCAGGTTGAAGAAACAAAAGCAACGAAATAAGGAGTAAGACTGGAAAATCGATGAATTGTTATACCTATATCATAGGTAGGTGAAGGTTTTATATAGGATGTCGCATCGGGAACACCATCGATAGATTTCTCGAAAAGTAGGCATATGATATTTTTCAAAATTTGGGAGTATACTAACGTCGATGGGGCAACGGTAGCTAAAATATTTTCAAGATGGTGGCACTTCCGGTTATACCGGAAGTTGATCCCAACTTGCTTATTTTGGATGGGCATATTACTTAATATTAGGATTCTACATAAAATTCTAATCATATTTTATGTATAATCTCTTATACTCAAGTCTAACCGTTTTTGAAATACTTATTTCAAATTTTGTCAAAAATGACGTTTGCAGGCCCTAAAATGGTTGTTTATTTCCCCTATGTACAACACCTTATTGTTTAATTTGGATTGATTTTCTGATAAACATAGTTTAATAGACTTTGTAGGATATTTCGATAATTATTATACAGGGTGGTCAAAAAATTAGAAATCAGAATGTCAAAAATTTCCAAAAGTCGATTTTTTCGAATGAAAACCCCCTATTTTTATAAGTTCATTGCATCCAGCATTCAAATTTAGCGTAATTTTATACAGGGTTTTCTATTCCAAAAATGATTACTTTTCCAGTAATTCGCAATTTATTACTTTTCTATTGTAAAACTCCAGATTTAGTTTTTTAATTAGTTGACTATGACGGCGGGATGCGGAGAACAAACAATTGCGCTCTACAAAAACGTCACTTTATGATAATGTCCTTCATTTGACAGTTTATGTATTATTTTTAATAATCATGGCCGCGCGTTTTAATTTCACTTACGAATACTATTTCAATTTATTTACTATTTAAAGTGAATGCAACAGAGTGATGTCAAGAGCATGTGATGTGTTTGCTTATTTGAAGGTTGGAGGTGGTCCTTTTGAACATTTACCAAAATAATTTCTTGCTTGTTATGTTTTGATTTCGTTTTATAATAGTATGAAATTCAAATATAAATCAAAATACCTCAGACTAAAAATATAAATAGACAAATAATTCCCTACAAAATATCGTCGTCAACATAACTGTATTTACGGTAAACAAATATATGCAACGCTGCCACTTCTCCATACTGAAAAATCTATTGAAAATGGAATGAGATATTGGTGTGCACTCCGCCCGGAATGAAGGTGGACTTAAATAAGGTGTGGAAGCTCCGGTCGATCGTGGGTAGATCAAACAACTGCTCCTAGGCAGTTGTCAACGTCATTTTAAATTTTAAAAATTTATTTTTTCTTTTCATATTTGTTTATACATACTCGCAAAAACGGTCACAGAGGTGGCCGACACGCCGTAAATTCAATTCAAAACGGATGCAGGTTCATGTTGGGTAATTCATAGCGAACATTACATATAATATTTTGCCCAGTCAGTTGTTTGACTGGATTTGTTCCACCTTGGACGAAACTTGCTCTCATTCGAAAGTAACACATTTCTACCGACTTTTTGACGAACGTGGCAACGGTGTTCAATGGCAAGTGGTGGATGCGTACACAGAATTTACAAACATCTGGTGTTTGTTGTTGTGCACAGTGAATTGGTTGCGAGTATTCAAAAATGTTTTCAGGTTGTTTTAGCGGCAATTATAGCATTGTTATCATTGATAGACAATTTTCAAATACAATGGGACGTCGGAAGTGCATTCTTTGTGGAGTTAGCAGTGAAAAAACTGAGGCAACCTTCCACAGGTGAGTTAGAGGTTAGAGGAGGACAAGGGCGTAGCGCATGGGGATGCGTTGTGATTTTTAGTATTAAGAAATAGACATTTTATAGTTATTGGTTGTTTTTACGCTGTATGTGTGGTGATTTTCAAAAAATACTCTTCTGTTAGACACGTTTTTAATCTTTCAGGTTTCCTAGTGATAAGAAAAAACAAGAAGAATCTCCAATGGGTGAATGAAAAGATGAAAGTTAAACTTGGCGTCCAGACTTTGAGCAAGAGTGTTGCAGAAGCATTGGACTTTTTGAACAAAGATCTGGCTATGGCTGTCTTCAAGGATTCAGAAGCTACAGCATATTTTTGTAGAACAGTAAACAATTTATTTGATGTTTTTAATTCAAGGAATAGGATGTCAAAAAAACCTTATGAGAAACCCTTGTCACCTGCTACTGAACAATATTTCAATTTCTTAGAAGAAGCGAAGGATTATTTGAAATCGTTAAAATTAGGAGACACTAGAGATATACTTTCTAGAAGAAAATTAGGATTTTTGGGATTCATAATTTCAATAAACAGCCTGTATGAATATAGAGTCAAAGAAACCAAAGAGCTGAAGTACCTTCTCACATATAAGTTATCTCAAGATCATTTGGAAATTTTCTTCAGTTGTATAAGAAGCAAAGGAGGATACAGCAATAATCCTACGTCGAAGCAGTTTCAAAATATTTTAAAAAAATTATTACTTCATACTGAAATAAGTGGCAATGAAGCATCCAATGTCGTGGCATTAGATAGCACATCCATTTTGCACTGTTCATCATCATCTTTAGAGATCAAAATTAATGAGGATATGACCTCATCATTAAACAGTATAGAGGAAGATGAAGATTTTATACAATTTAAAAACATTCTTCGAATAAGTCCTTGGTAGCTTAAACTGTATTTGGAAGATGTTGTTGCATATGTTGCAGGTTTTGTTGTGAAGAGGCTAAAAAAGTCTATAAAATGCCAGAGTTGTTTAGATTTGTTAGAAACTTCAGGAGAGTCTATATCGAAATTACAAATAAGAAGAACGTATGGAAAATTAGTTAAAGCCTCCGCTTTTGTAATAAATGTGTGTAAATATGAAGAACATTGCTTTAGGTTATATAAGGAAAGGTTAGAAGTTGGCAAAAAAATATGACAAGAGCTTCACAAATATTAACAAATTATACATTGCAAAATTTACCTCTTGGATTCGGAAATGTGTTTAAGGGCCATGTATTCGAAGATGAACCTTTAAGTAATCATTTTCCATTGCTCTGTAAACAAGTTTTAGAACAATATTTTACCATTAAGTGGTACCATTATACCTCTAACTTGAATGCCCCTTCAAAACGTGTACGATCATTACTCACAAAAAGTATATTATTTCAGAATCAATAAGACCTGATAATTACAAAAAAATAAAAAGCAAAATTATAAGATGAATTATAAATAATGACTTAGGGAGAGTGAAAAGTCCAAAGGAATTGTTTTACTAAAATATGCACTAAATCTCCAAACATGGATTGACTACTATAAAATAATGTATAAACCTACCCCCAATGTTGACTTTAGCTTTTTAGATGTTTTACATGCATATCTGGATCAGCATATATCAATACAAGAACTTTTTGACGCGCTAAATGGCTAAAATGGCTATCAGAGTCTACAGAGTACACTAAATCCCCAAGTATACCGTTATGAAAAAAAGGATTTATAATCCAACTTAAGCTCCACAATAAATAGTCTCAAAATCTTCCTAAACAATATTTCATACAGGGTTGACCAAACAGACTATTGTACAATATGTAATACTCGAAAGACCGAATCTTTAGGACATCTCCTCCTGGAATGTCCATTATACAATCCATTGAGAGAGCATATTCTGTCAGATCGTTTGGCCCAAATCTGTGTCTTTGCTTGCCTGAATAAAAGGAATGAGTTGAATTTATGATACAAACTTTTTAAATACTATAGGGAATTATTTAAGCTAAGATCTTTCTTAAGGAATGAATAGTTTTTTTGTGCCTTCAATATCAAGACAGAATATTTAAATTGATGCGTCAATTATTTATTCTTTTTCTGTTTGTTTATATATTTTTTATATACAACTTTTGATCATGGTTACTATTTTTTTTTGTATTCATACTCTGGACGGGAAAGTTTCTACTCAATTCTTATTATTTACATAATACTCTCTCTCTTGTTTATATACCTTTGTTCTAGGTATTATGAAACAATAAACCTGATAATTAAGTTCCAATAATAAAACCTTGTTTACTTCTCTGTGTTTATTCTTTTCACTGCCATGGAAGGTGATACTGGATGTATTAACCAGAACACCATTACAAAAAAAAGCACCTACGCCACTGGTGGAATCAGCTGTGGTCTGCACATACACAGCTTATTGTTTGTATTTGTTTTGAATTGGGTTTGTTTGTCTTCATGCATTACAGTGCCGTAAGAATGGTAAGTCTATTTATATTTTTAGTCTGAGCAAAATACCTTATTGTTTCCTGTTATTCATTTCATTGTATGTGTGCTTGTTGGGAAATCTACTAGCAAACTTATCATAATTAATCTTCATATTATTCTGATTGTGAATGCATGAAAATTATTAATTATATTAATAAAAGCTTAAACTTAGACGTAGTGATATTTCCGTAGTGCTCAATTGTTTATTATCTGCGTCCCGCCGTCATAACCAACTAATTAAAAAACTAAATCTGTACTTACAGGAGTTTTACAATAGTAAAGTAATAAATTGCAAATTACTCGAAAAGTATACATTCTTGGAATAGATAGCCCCTTATAAAGGTATGCTAATTTTTAATGCTGGATGCGATGAACAACTATTTTAGGGCATGCAAACGTCATTTTTGACACAAAATTTGAAATATGTCAAAAACGGTTAGACTTGGGTATAGGAGATTCATGAAATGTGATCAGAATTTCATGTAGAATCGAAATATTGGGTAATATACAACTATATACACGTAAGTGAAATTTAAATGCGCGGTCATGATTATTAAAAATAATTTATAAATAAACTGTCATAAATATGCAGGACATTATTATAAAGTGACGTTTTTGTAGAGAGCAATTGTTTGTTCTCCGCATCCCGCCGTCATAGCCAACTAGTTAAAAAACTGAATCTGTACTTATAGAGGTTTTACAATAGAAAAATAATAACTTGCAAATTACTCGAAAGGTAGATATTTTTGGAATAGAATAACCCTTATAAAGTTACGCTAATTTTTAGTGCTGGATGCGATAAACTTATAAGAATGTTTTCATTCGAAAAAATCGACTTTTGGCAATTTTTGACACTGAATTTTTATATTAATGTTTTGACCACCCTATATAAATAATTATCGAAATATCATCCAAAGTCTATTAAACTATATCCCTGTTTATCAGAAAATCAATCCAAATTAAACATTAAGGTGTTGTACAAAGGGGAAATAAACAATTATTTTATGGCCTGTAAACGTCTTTTTTGACATAAAATTTGAAATATTTCAAAAACGGTTGGTTAGACTTGAGTATAATAGATTACATAAAATGTGATTAGAATTTTATGTGGAATCCGAATATTAAGTAATATACCATTTCAAAATAAGCAAGTTGGCATCAACTTCCGGTATAACCGGAAGTGCCACCATCTTGACGATATTTTAGCTGACGTTGTCCCATCGACATTACCATGCTCTCAAATTTTCAAAAATATCATATGCCTACTTTTTGAGAAATCTATCGATGGAGTTGCCGATGCGACATCCTGTATACTCATGAATATGTTTGAATAGATTTTATGTTTTTCCAAATTACGAAATTGAGATATTCTGTTTTTTTATGTTATATGACATGTACATAATGAAATACCGTGTCACCCATTTTCGTCGGACTGTCTGTCTGTCCGCTAATCATTGGCCCCTGTATAACTCAGAAAGCATTGATAAAATTTTGGCACAAGCTTACTGATATGCCAAAAACGAAAAACCGTAGGTTTTGAAAATCGATCCATTGGCGGCCAAGCTATAAACAATAAACGAAAATAAAAATCGTTCGTTCGAGTGTCTCCAGCTCATTTTCCGAAAAACTTTTTTGAACAAGTGTTGTAAGGGATGGAGCATATCTTGATCTCCTTTTATGAACCATATTCGTCATCGTGTAGGGATACTTATAAGCCGCGTGTGGATCCACAAGTATTCAACGCGAGTCTTCGAAACTCCTTATGTCGCCAAGGTTACACATCACTCTTTCAAAAATCATCTATAGTAGGTATCAGTACTTTTATATATTCTGTATAAAATTAATTAAAATAAGAAATTTTTCAGAAAATAAAAACTGGCGTTACTGGAAATCAGTTTTTCTTGAGTATCTTTTGAACGACAATGTATCATTCATCGAATTTTGACAGCTCAGTGAACAATTAGAGTTTGATTTGGCGGTGTTCACGGAAAACAATTGACTCACTTAAAACACCAGGGATGCACTAGCCCCAGTGCAATATTGCGAACAATTTTTACATCCCGTATAGTAAGGGCCCAAATACTATTTTGAAAATGCCTAATGTGTTAGCTGAAAAAATGCATTTCCGTTTATGTTCGACTTTGAGAAAGTCGAATCTAAAACTAAATCAAGTGATCTAAAAGTGTATATCCTGGTGCCTCTCCGCCTCTAATTATGAATCTGTTAGCAGAATTACTATATTGGCAAAATGGCGTGACCAGTATACTGGATACGATGTCAAAATTAATAGAACTATACTGAAAATTAATTCAACTGGGTCTTTGCCAACAACGCTCTATCCTATCGATATCAAACACCTTTTTCATATCAAAGATAAGGCTTTCCAAAAATGTTGCCGTGGACTTTTATCATATAAGGTGTATTAATTTTTGGAGGCATTGTGTTGGGGTTAGCCAGTTCCGAGCGATCTAAATGATTTGCTTTTATTTGACAAGAACCGACATCAAGTAGCGATCTTTATGGCTCTGTATCTCCCTAGAGGAGAACTTGTGGCATTCTCTTCTTGTGTTCTATATCTGAGACATTTTGCAAAATTTCAAACATTCATTTTTTACATGTTGTAGAACGCTAACTAACTGATTCTATCATGACGTTTCCCTAGCAGTCTGATATTTTTATAAGAATAGTAGTGAGGACCTTTTCAATCATCTTCAATACAATAATACTATATAACATTTGTTTCAGAAAATAAGGAGGGTGATCGAAGAAGTAGATGCTGCTAAGACATCTTTGGGCAATGTTCTATTATATCTGAATATCATTACCTCAATCAGACTACCACTGTTTTAGTAGCAGAACTATTTTTCAGGTAAGTTATATAGCGTAAGCATAATGATTAGAGGTCGTTTTCGTTGTGGAATCATGGTGTAGGGAAGTTGATTTTTCTGTCAACGCTGGAAAGATCGAGCTGATCCTATTCACTAGGAGAAGAAGGTTTGACGGGCTTGTCTTGCACACCTTCTTTGGGACTAGATTAGTTCTATCCCAATCAGTAAAATATCTAGGAATTATCCTGCACTGCAAACTGAACTGGAGAGAGCACGTTGAATTTGAGGTTAACACGGCTCACGATTCATTGTGGGCTTGTAAACGCGTTATCGGAGTATGGTGGGGGCCTAAACCCAAAGTGGTTCACTGGCTCTACACGATGATAGGGCATCCATCTCTGTTGTACGGCTCCTCAGTTTGGTGGCCCTGCATTGGAACTGAGACTGCTAAGGCCAGATTCAATAAAATTCAGCGTTTGGCCTGTATAAAGGCTGCTACACACAGTGCCGCCGGGCAAGCCGCCGGCTAAGCCTCCGTGCACCCGGCGGCATACAAAGCCGCCGGCCTTGCCGCCGGGGTGTGCCGGCGAGTTACTCGGCTTGCCGGCGTCACTTCGTTCCTGGCATTCGAGAGGTAATGTTGTGCGGTTTGTGTGTTGCACTTCACTAGCGTTCTATGTGACTGTCACAACCGGAATGATGCTTGGCGGCTTGTATTGCCGCTCGGCATAAACCCGGCGGCATTGCCGTGTAGTAGCTTTTAGCATTACAAGCGCAGTGCGGATCACACCATTGAGTGCAATGGAAGCTCTGCTGTATGCCCCACCGTTGGATCTAGTGATCGGCGGAGAAGTGAGAGTAGTCGCTCATCGACTGTGGAGTCAGGGCAGCTGGGCCTTCTTGAATCCTGTCAAGGGTCATACTGCCATCCTGGTCGAACTATAAAGGAAGGATCCCGTCCTTCTAAGCAGGGGTGATCTGATTACCCCTGAATATGGCTTCAACCGCAAGTTTATTGTGGAGTATTCAACGAGCGAGTAGTGGGACGCCGGTTGCCGGAGGCTCACCGGAGTGAGTGGGCAAGTCTGGTACACGGATGGCTCGGTCACCCAAGACGGCTCTGGCGCCGGGGTCTCGGGGCCTAGGACTAGGCTATCTCTGCCTCTTGGTGGACACACCACTATTTCCCAGGCGGAAATTGTTGCGATTCCGGCTGTTGTATACCTCACTTTGGAGGGGGTGGTCCTAAGAGAGGAATAACAATCTTCTCCGAAAGCCTGGCTGCAACAAAGGCACTAAGTGCCTGTAAGATCACTTCGAGCCTTGTATTGCAATGCAGGGAGGTTCTGGATTGTCTAGCAGCGTGGCATCTGGTATCATTAGTGTGGATACCGAGGCACGCTGCGATAAAGGGCACTGAGACGGCGGACGCTCTGGCGAAGACAGGATCAGCCAGCAAGCTCGTTGGTCCTGAGCCAGCTTTACGGGTGCCCCCACCAAGGATTAGGAGGGAAATGGAGAAGTGAATTGGAAAAAAACACTCTCAGAAATAGAGAAGCATCTCTAGACATCTACGTCAGGCACGCAAACTCATTGTAGGGCCCAGCGCTAAGGATGGACGTTTTTGCTTATCTTTGGATAGAGCCAACCTAAGGTTGCTGGGGGGACCGTTGTCTGGCCCTAACACGTTAAGGCACCACCTGCACGTGATGGGCGTGGCTGAGTATCCCTTGTGTGAGCGCTGCGGGGTCGAAGAAGAGACCTCCGCGCACGTTCTGTGTCGCTGTGAGGATCTTATCTACCACAGGCAGACTATACTGGGGTCCTATACTATACCCAGGACGTTAAGGAGCTTGGACTCAAGGCCATACTTTACTTCTCTAGAATGACGCGGTTTGAGGTCTAAGGAATGTAGAGGTGCACAAGGGCCCGTGTAAGTGGCCCATGCGCTGGCTCCTTATGGTGGCCGGTATGCCCCTAATTCCATGTTTCATTTATCCATTCAAGTTATGTAGTGTTTCAGGCAGCTAGTCTCAAAATTATTTCACATATTCAAAATGTTTGTTTCAGAGGCGACCTTTTTCAAGAAAAAAATTGTTGGTGTACTCAATCTAAGTAAACGGTTTGAAAATGTTAATGATTGCGTTTTAGTTTTGTTAAACTAGCTTCATAGATTAAAGTATACTACTTTAGAAGTCGGAGTTTAATTAAACTAATGAATCTTGTTAGCTGTCACGTAGTTAATTAAATTTTTTAATTGGCCTTATCAAAATTTTACTTTGTTTTATTAAATTCGGCATATCGGCCAATATAAATTATAATGGTACTGATACGGATCATACATCATAATGATGACCTGAACATGCTTATTAAAGCTTTTCCCAGGCACAAAACGTGAAATTTGACCACCCGTCACTCTTAAGGAAGTTCATATTGTGGTAGGTCATGTGCAAGTCAAAATCCCCTATCAATGTATGTTATTTTGAATACAAATAGTATAACAACTGTTTCAGAAAAAATGAAGGAAATTTGAAAATCGTTACAGAGAGAAATAAACAACTAGTGTACTAAAAAGTCTAAGGATCAATTGTAATACAGTCAATATTACATTACATCCGAATGTCAATGCCGAAGGATGAAAAGGAACACTTTTTGCTAGGACAACTGTATAAGACAAGTGCTGTATCGATATAACAACAGTTTAGGTAAGCCAACTGTGAAAGATATACTATTAAGCTTATTTGCTTATAACCTGGTTTTATGAAAATATTTCACATAACTTCGTTTTTACGTATAAAATGGGGATACAATCTATAAAAAAATAATAATAGAACGAAAGTTAACACAGGAAAATTATATACGTCTAGGGAATACTCAGCCAATCTGCTAAACTACATTTTTATGTATTTACCACCGTTCAGAGAGTCTCTGGGCACATGATGGTCGATGATAAAAAATTAAAAAAATGGTCCCAAGTATATTGGCTCTATACCTCCTAAGCCTACGTTGGAAGCTTTAAAGCGAAAAGGAATAAGTTAAATCGTGTCAAAACGCTAAATCTATTCGTGATTAGGTAGGTTCAATTAGGTACGAAAGATCTTAGACTTCTGCATATAAAGCAAGTCTACTATATTTCTGTTTCCATGGCAGATGTAGGGAAAATATGTATTACTTATTATAGTATCACTGGGATCAGCAGCTTCTTAATAATGATTTTTCACTGACACCACTTTCAAATTTTGAACCTCTTATCATTCATGATAAGTATTAATGTTCGCTAGCAGGCTGTCATATATTTTAACACTAGTGATACATTTTAAAATGATACAATTCAAACTGAGAATTTCCTTATACGTGAAAACTTCCAAACATTAACCTGATAGTTCGCTTTTAGGCTCCCCTAATATTCTGAGAGAAGTGGCTATATGCCAATGCTTAACAGACTTCCACTAATCCTTTTGCGTTCAAAAAATCTTTCATTTTAGAAAACATGATACGGTTTACTGAAACTTGTGCAACATGATCAATATGTTCACAAAGGTTTAGTCTACTGTCAAAGTACGTACCGAGAAGTTTGTAGGAATCAGTTAAAGAAAGGTCATACATTTCTAGCTGAATCCTAATGGTACGTTGGATATTACAATAGTGTATCTCGACTAACAGGAAGCACACCTTAGCGCTCATCCGGTATCGATAAATGACGCGCTCTTCCGAAGAGCCGCTCATTTCGGCTGGTCAGAGTCAGATCACCCACGACTTGATCTGGCATGAATGCATCGCGTCACTAGCGATAGCTGCTGGGAAAAGGCTAGGCTATTTGGTTAGGGCTCTGCAGTACTTTTCTTCTTATAACCTCCTCACCTTGTAGATCCAGATAAGATAAAGCCGTGAGGACTGCTCACATGTTTTGAGTGCTGCTGCCGTGACTACATTCTCCTTGCTCGATGCTGTTTAGAGGGCTGTCCGACTGATCACTGATCCTTTTCTATCGGACAGGCTCGCGATTCTTTCGCACGGACAGGAAGTCGGTGACCAACCGTTATGTCAAGGGGCTTTGCTCATCAGAGCTCTCACCCATGATGCCGCCGCGCGATTTCCCTGCTAGGCAGACCCTGCTGTAACCATACCACCTAACCGTGTCGAACTTCGTTATATCCAGATCTGACCGATACGACCGCCGCTGAGTCCCTAGGGTATTGAGATTGTGGAACAATCTACCACAGAAGGCTTTTCCCAATTCTACTAAGCTGAGGTAGTTCAAAGATCGGATTAACCCTTAAATGCGCGATTTTTTCTATTATGGTAAAAAAAATAAATTTGATGTTAAATTACCTCTAGTTGCCACAAAAAATAGTTAAAGAAATACAAATTCCGAAAAACTATTTATTTTTGCAATTTTTTTAATGTAGCATATGTGCTAAAGCGAACATTACAACTTAAATATGCAAATCACGGAACTATACTGGTTGGTAGCTTTCAGAAATAGGACTTAAGCTTTTGGAATATGCTTTAACATTTTATTTATTTATTTTAAACCCGCCGCACTTGGGAAGTTTACAACGTAACCGTTTTTCCATCCATACGGGCCAGTGCGAGCTCTCGTCTCCCTAGGAGGAATAGTACAGTTACGAGAGCGTTGTTTCTGTTGGATTTCTTTTCCAAATCAGATTTACGACCTCTTGAGTTTTGACGAATACCTATTTTGCAAAGTGTTTCTCCTAATTCAATCCTAAAATTTGCCAGCCCAAGTGTTTTAGTATTTCCCTTCTGAGCATTAACTCTCCTATATAGAAGCCAAGCATTTACCATTGTCATGTCCAAAAGGTAATAAAAAAGGTCTGAAATACCACTTCCTGGATTTGAGCTTGATACGGTATCGACCAATCAAACTATCCATAAGGTCTACTCCTCCCATATGTTTATTATATTCTTTTACAATCTTAGGGCAATCGATCTCCACTCTTTTATTTTGAGATTTATCGTATCTGTCAGCTTTGGATTTCGGAAGAGTTCCACAAAATGTAGACACAAGGGACACAATTTTATTGTTCTTCCATGCAATTGAAGAATTTGGTACTCCTTCCGTCTCCGTATTATATTCCTTACTGGTACCTCGATTTTCTTTACTCATTTCCTTATCTCCTGGAAGGGGGCATTTTGGTATCCGATTTCTTCTGATAGTACCCAAAGCTTGAACACCGCGTTGAGATAGCTGTGCCGGAAGTGGTAAGGTGGTATAATAATTATCAAATTATACATGATAATTCATATCATTTGGTAGATTACGTAGAAGTCTGGTTACGATGTTAGCACATGCCCCTAAATAACGCTCATTTGGCCCTATTGTGTTTTCTTGTCCACTGTAAATTTCAAAATTATAACAATATCCTGAAACTCCGGCCAACACATAAACCTTGAATCCCCATTTATGCGGTTTTGCTGGCATGTATTGCTTGAGATAACTTTTTGTTTTTGTTGGGCACATCTGTTCATCAATTGATAGGCATGCTTCATAAGGAACAGACTGGTAACGATCAAGAAGGTGATCAACCAGTGGCCGAATTTTGTGAAGTCGATCATGTAGTTCATGTCCCTTAGGTAACATTTTAGAGTTATCGTTGAAATGCAGGTGTTTTTTTATTTTATCGAATTGCTTTTGCGACATCGTATTTTTGATATCTGTACCAATGGTAGAAGACCAATAGCTTCGTATATTGGGCATATGTATAACTGACATCAGAACACATATTCCAATGTATCTTTTTATATCTGTTACTTGTAGGGATACAGGATTGCCTGTATCTAATTGTACCGAGAATAAATTTGACTGCTCCACGATAAGTTTGATAAGATCTTGATCAAGAAAGTAGGTGAAGAACTGGTAAGGAGTTTCCAAATTGCAAAACACATATGGCAGTTTTTCACTACCTTTGAATTTAACATATTCTTCGGGCATAATCAAGTTGCCCTCTCTCCACTCCAGCTTACACAAGACTTCTCTAATTCTTCTTTGATCCTCAGCTGACTTCTTTTTTCTTGTTTTTTCGTCATTGCGGAGTACTTCATTCTTGCGTTTCCGACTAGTATCTTTATTGGCATCGTGTTTTGGTATATTGCCGGAGAAAATGTTGTGTTGGTTGCTTTCACGTAATAAGTACGTTTAGATATTCGTCTTCTTGTAAAGCTGAATATGATTCGCTATTACTTTCCAAAGATTTTTCAGAAACATGTGCAGATGACTGCTTTTTATATAAATGTTCGTTAGAAACAGGACGCGAGTCTAGAGACAGATCAGGTAAAATTATCATGGGCATTTTGTCTATATCAAAATCATCATTTTCATCATCCAGAAGATCATTAGCTGGCGAAATGTTATCAAAATCTTGTGGAAGCGCGTCGTCATCGTCATTTGAAGTTTCTAGTCCGTCTTCACTGACTTCAGACAAATGGTCTGCAAAGTACTGAAGCTCCGCCTGCGTTAGTGGCCTCTTCTTTTCCCAATTTTCCTGCAGAGAAAATCAGAAAATTGGACGCCTTTTGTTAGAATTCTATTGCGCGTTGTTGCAGATATGCAACATTGCTTTAAAAATCCCGCGTAAATATTTTAGGCTGTAAAGGAAATTGTTGCATATATGCAACATTCCTTTAGTAAGCGTTTTGAAATACTATTTCATATTTTTTGGAATAAAAATACTAAATGTGGATTAAGCCTACCATATTCCTGACCACAACAATTTTATAGTGCAACTTCACTGAAATATGTCATCAAAAACGAGGACCAAACTTGTTCAATTTTGTGCGAACGTCAGAGTTATAGGACGCACCGACTTGGACTGACTTGAACAAGTCCGCATGCTGCCATCTGTGAAGTCACTTTTAAATTATCGTAATGTAATAGTTTTTGTACGAAGTCATTTGCAAGAGGTTTCGGAATATGCTTTATATTCATAAATAATAGTTAATTCAAAAGCGTAGCATATACGTTACGCTACGCATTTAATTAATAGCTTCTTAAAATTCTTTAAATATTTACTTCGACGAGGACTTCGCATAATTAAGATCGAACATCACTTACAGGTAAGTTCGTTTGATCATGTAATTATGTTCCGTCCTCGTCGAAGTAAATATTTAGAATACATATCGTAGATGTTCAAAGCGAGTTGCAACAACGTAGTACTAGCGCTCTGCAATAGTAAACGATAGATTGTACACAACTACACAAATTTTACGCAATGTATGTGTCAACTAAATGTACATTTCCATTGTAACAACTCAAGTTAGGGCTTCTAGCAACTGGTAATATGACGTACCTGGTTCAAAAATTACCATCCATTACATGGTAGTAAGCAAATAACGTAATAACATAGTAATATTTAAGGTGTAGAGACTTGTTCACCTCAAATGCCGCTTGAGCAAAGCTAGTGTTTGACATAAGAGATTTGTGACGTATTTTAGAAAACGCACTCCAGCCCGCCGCGAGCCTGAGACTACTATGATTTAGCAGGCGGATAGGTAGACGCATTTCATGTAGTGTGGACTGTCAGTTGTGACACTCTCTGTTGTTTTGCCACCAGTAATTGGTTAACACTGTTGGTGGTGGATTTCAATAAATAAATAAATAAATAAATAAATAAATAAATAAAACCGACTTCATCCATCTGGGAGCAGAGGCACCATGATAAAGTTACTGTAGGATTACAAATAAATACTTTGACTACACAGATATTCGGGGATGAAGTACGATAAAACCAAAAGTGGTTGCCACATGAGTGACACCGAGACTTTCAAATAGTGAGAAATCCCAATTTCAATATTATTCAACCCGATCGGGATGTTGTCTGTTTCAATTAGTTTGCACACTCTGCTAGAGCTAGCAGTGTTGCTGATTTCCTCATTCAAATATCTACAGCGCTTACCAGCAACCCCTTTGGTTGGTTAAGAATAACCACAGTATCTATATTTCAGTTGAGATGGCCTCAGCCTGTAAACGCCCTTCCAAAACCATCTTATGTCTGCACCGTTAGTAGCATTTTGGGTAAAAGACTGGTAGCTCAAACAATTATATCTTGATCTCTTACCACATGTACTGGTAAGGTAAGAAACTTCAAGGTAGAAAACCAGACATGTATTTCTTCCCGAAAAAGGTTCTACCGTAATCTAAGCCCAATATACATGGTGGATTATCGATGCTGATTGGAATGACAGCTTTCCAGTGACGATAACCAGGATAAGCTTCAGAACTAGTTGGAGCGACGTCCTGGGTCCGAATACTTGAACCAAAATCAGGACCACTTTGGGTGAACTATAAAAAAAACTGGGCTCTATACTTCAACGAATTTGAGGTACTATTTTATATGTGTTACGAGCAAAAGTGACCAAAATAAAAATTTCATTGTCGATTTTTGTTTTTACCTAAGTTGGGAAGATGCGCAGAGAAACTTTCATCGTTTATCAAATAACGAAGGTCTGGCCGCCGCCGGATTTTACTCTATGAGATACATTCTCCGATTTGCGAAATTTAGATAAGATAGAAGAGAAAGAGGAATATATTGACATCTGTTTCGATGGAAATTTTTCATGTTCGATTCCATCCATTTTCAAGTAGAGTAATTGCAGCTTTTATGCACCAGAATATGTTAGATGAGGGCTCCAAATTGTAGAGTCGAAAAATCATGAGGTAGAAGATAAAATGTCTTTGAAGATTCTCCATCACTGCAGCATAGTCTTACCGAATTTCGGGCACAGGGGGTGCGGCTTATATTTTTGACTTAAGTTGCACTTTCTGTGTCCGGGAATTTGTGAGATACAACCTCCGAATCGAGAAATGTATAATATAGAAACGCTCTGTTTCTTTGGTAATCTTTCATCTTCAATCTGGTCGATTCTGGGTTACAGAATAGAATTGAAAAATGTAGATAATAATAGAAGAGAAAATACTGATATCTGTTTCCCTGGAACTCTTTCATGTTCAGTCTAACAGATTTTGCTGTAGATACAGATTTTTGCAGCTTAGATAAATAACTTGATCTGCAAGTTCTGTGCACCGTAATTTATGAGGTGGAGTATTCCAATTGGGAAAAGTAGATAAGATATAAGAGAGAATTCACGATTTATTTGGGTTTTCTTCATAGCAGCAACATAGTCTCACCGTATTTCGACCGCAGGTCGATCTATGACACCTTCTGAGTACAAGAATCTTTGAGATACAGTCTCGGAAATGAAAAATGTAGGTAACGATTGAAGAGAAAATATAGAAACGTTGTCTGCCTTTAGTAATCCATTATCATTTTAGCACAGAAATATTCAAATTCGCCGGCTTTTGGTACTCAGAATGTTGATGTATAAGCTTAGCTGCAATTTATGTGTACCATAGTCTGTGAAATTCTTACCGAAATTAAGGATGAAAACATCTTTTTCTGGACAACGGTAGTCGGTATGTAGTCATATCGAGTTTTGGTGCACTGAATGGTGCAACTATATGAATAATTTTAGTTGCCACTTTTATGTGCCACATTCTCTGAGGCACGGTCTTCGAATTATGAAATAAAGATGGTACTAGGGACAAATATATTTCTTTTGTGATCCTTCATTGCTGCTATATCTGGTCTAACCGACTATTGCGTATCAGAATGATGTGACTAGATATTTCACTTAGTTGTACGTCCTGCATAGCAGGAGCTGTAAGATACTATCTTCAAACCGGAGGAAAATGATGTTAAATTTGTTATAAAGAAAACATTTGGCTCATGATATCCAGATTCACCGACTGTTGCCACCCAGGATTGCCACTATTCAGTCTCACTGATTTTGATACCGAGAACGCTGTCACTGGATGTATGACCTGTTACAGCTTCTTGGTACCATACTCCGTGAGACACAGTCTTCGAACCCAAGAAATGGAATGGCGCTATAGATGATTGCTTCTCTGGACAACGATAATCGCACCAGCTTATGATATCCAGACTGACTGATTGCTTGTATCTTGGGTAGTTGCCACTAATGTACGATTTTAAACGGCGATGGCGCTTCAAGATAGATAACGATATAAGAGGAAAGGTACGTTTGTTGTAATTTTTTATCGTCGTTATACAAACACGAATGTTTAGCCTTGCCAATTTTGGTAAAGACGTT